TTATTTTGATATTTTGAACATGGACTGAATGTCGTTTGGATGTCGAACGAATGACATCTGAACATCATCTAAACTCATCGTAACTCTCTCAACTATATCTTTCAGCATAATAAATGGCTTTGCGCTGCCGATCAAGCAGGAGCACAAGCAGTTTCTCGTGAAGATCCTGCTACCCTTGCACACGCCGAAGACGCTCGCGTTGTATCACGCACAGGTACGCGACCCACCTCGCTGCTGCTGCTGGTGGTGATGATGATGGTGATGGTGATGATGATGATGATGATGATGATGATGGTGGTGGTAGTGATGATATTGTTGGGAGTCGTAATTGCAGGCGTGTTGATAGGCGCGTTGGCAGCGGTGCTGTTGTCGGTGGCAGCAGAAGGTTGTTAGCGACTGCGGTGTCATCGATGAATTTTAATTGTTTTTAATTGAGTTTTTGCTGGGAATTCTGCTTCCGTCGCCGTTGTTGTTCTGCTGCCGTGTAATTCCTGAGTTAATTCTTCTCAGTTATTGATCTGTTCTGTTCTGTTGCAGCTGGCCTACTGTGTAGTACAGTTCCTTGAGAAGGATGCTACTCTCACTGAGCCAGTTCTCAGAGGCCTCCTCAGGTACTGGCCAAGAACCTGCAGTCAGAAGGAGGTATGTGCTGCACACAGGTCGGGCTGGGGTCATGCTGTATCATGCTGGGGGTCAGGCTGCTTTGAGCTGGGGTCAGGCTGGGGTCGGGCTGGGGTCGTGCTGGTGTCCCGTTGGGGTCATGCAGGGGTCGTGCTGGGGTCATGTTGGTGTCGAGCTGGGGTCGTGCGATCCTTGTTATACACATTACGTCTAGTGAAATGCGATGCTAGATGCAACAAAGCTAATTTTATGGCACAAACTTTGAATAGTGCAGTAGTAGGATGCAGAAATTGTGCATTTTCGCAGTTTGTGCCCCCCTCCCCTCCTGTGGTTTCCTTCATTGTGGTTCGGGGAGAGCGTAGAACGACTGCTGGGAGGTGCACGTCGGACTCGGTGGCTGCACTATTGTTTGTTTCTTGCTCGTGAGGCAGCAGCGATGTGTGTGCGTGCGCGCAGTCGTGAGATGGTGAGATTAGAGCGGCACATTCTCACGGGAATCGCGCGAAACGCGAACCGGCGAATCCGTGCTCCCCCCACCACCCCCACCCCGGAAGAATCTAATTGCTCTCGCTGACGTTTACTTGAGTAATTAACGGAAGTCTGCAATTACTGTTGAGCGTAGCCGAGTGGTGACAATCAGCGTGCATCTCCGGCGTTTAGCGCTTCCGTAACAAGAGAGAAACTTGACGGGTTTGTGCGGCTGTTGGTGGTCGACTGCGATTAGTTTTCGGGGCTTCATGTGTGAATAGTTATGCAGCGGACTAGTCGCCACGGTCTATAGAAGTACCGGAACCGTCGCAAATAGTTGCGCAGCGGACTAGCCGTCACGGTCTATAGAAGTACCGGAACAGTCGCAAATAGTTGTGCAGCGGACTAGCCGTCACGGTCTATAGAAGTACCGGAACAGTTGCAAATAGTTGTGCAGTGGACTAGTCTCTCTCTCTCTCTCTCCCTCTATTTACTTTTGCAGTTGAGTCTCAAAACGTGGAAAACTTTCTGCTTTTTCACTGCTTTTATCTACTAATCGAGTATGGATATCTCGTAGTGTTTGACCAGTATTGTGCGCTAGTTGGGTGTATTTGCAGCATTTCTAAGATGTGTCCACCTGCTAGCGGCGGTGGGTTTTATCGAGATGAGGTTCAGAATACAGTCGAATGGCAATGTACATAGTTAGGGGGCAGAGTCCAGTGTGCATTTTTGTAACATATTAGAAATAGATGCCTGGAACACCAGGTATGGGGGAAACTTGCGTGGATCAACCATTCGTGCATCGCACAACAGCGCGAATGGTTCTGATTACTCCCGCCGCATTCTTATCTTTGTCGAATATCCTTTTCATTGAGGTACATCGCTATTTTGCAGCCACTCATTCATTCATGCCAGTCCCACTAAAAAGCCTTGCGTGTGCCTACGTGCGTGTGATTTTCAGTCTCTACACTTTTATCTATTGATTATTCCTCGTTTGTTGGTTTCGCGGGCACACATGTCATCATGATATGAATGAAGTTAGGCGAGTTGCAGTGTGACAAGCTGGTCTACGTACAGTGTTGTGGGCATGCACATGTAATGCAGTGATGCAGACGTGGGAATTAATGTGTCTCTCAGTCGAATGCTCTCTGTTTTTACTGCCTCAACTACTCCCTGTCTTCCCATTTAGCAAGTGTTCGTGTTACCATTAATAAGTAAATAAGTAAAAACTTTACGACGGTAAAACATGTTAGGTACAGACACAATAAATTGGCGCGGACTCTTCTACATGGCCGTCTCACAGCAACAGAACGGTTAAATATTAAATAAATACACCATAAGTGTAAAGTACCATTCTGCTGTGCATAGCTGAAAATGCAAAGAAAAACTTTTGAATAATTATATAATTATATTGAATAATGTAAGATTGTAATTGATAGGGAGTGTGATTGATATGGGACCAGGGTTGGATGTAAAACTGATTTTAGTATATTAAAATCAAATTGCGTAGTAATGTCAGCAGATACCAAACTGATAATTTGCTGCATCACAGGGGAACGTGCTTCGCTTTGTGTCGTGCGTTATTTTTGCCTGCACTGTTTGGAATTTCAGCTAGTCACCATTTTGTCGCATTCCCTCCCTCTTTTTTATGAATTTGAATGAAAATTTATGTTCTCTCCTCGGCGACGTCTTATTGGTTATCTCTGGCGTCTCGTTGCAGGTCTCGAGCAACTTATTTCGCACTCTCCCACCAAGCGAAAATCCAGAGTTTGACCCAGAGGAGGACGATCCAACGTTAGAGGCTTCCTGGCCACACCTACAGGTAGCGCGCGTGCCGCCATGTTTGAGTCAGTGTTCAAAGAAGGATCGTGTACATGATTGCAAAGGCGTGCTGCCATGTTTGAGTCAGGGATCGAGGGGGATCGAGTACGCGATTGCAAAGGTGTGCCACCATGTTTGAGTCGGTGTTCAAGGAAGGATCGCATACGTGATTGCAAAGGCATGCCGCCATGTTTGAGTCAGCGATCGAGGGGGAATTGGGTGTGTGTAATCGTGAGGACATGACGTGTTGCCATGTTTGAGTCGATGTTTAAGAGAGAATCGGGAGCGTAATTGCAAAGACAGGCCACCATGTTTGAGTTTCTATTGTGTGTGAGGATTGGGCGAGAATGCGAGATGATCAAGAGGTCAATCATCTTCTCTGTGTTAGCATGTTAATGAGGAATGGTCATGCATTCGCAAAGGCATTCTATCATCTTTTAATTAATATGTCAAAGAGGAATAATGACGCAATCTTGAATTTGTCTTGTAGTTGTGTCAAGCTGAAAGGAAGTCGCCATTGTTTCAATGCTCATCAATTACATGATATTGATTTCATCGAAGATCTCTGTTGTTGTTTTTTCACAGATTTCTTATGAGTTCTTGTTACGTTTCCTGGAATCGCCAGACTTCCAGCCCAGCATAGGCAAAAAATACATTGATCAAAAGTTTGTTCTTCAGGTGACAATTAATTAATTAATTAATTAGGTGACAAGTAACTAATTAAATCTTACTCGTACTCGTGTCTCAAGACTGAGGATAGACTAGAACTAGATATTGGGAGACACTACATTGCAAATTTTGTTCAGGGACATACTAACAGCTAGAGTGTGCCTAAGTATATAAGTCTAAGTCTGATTTATAAGGTCTGGGAGCTAGAGTGAGTGTAGCTCAGTGCCCATATAAAGCTGGAAATTGCCGTTCTTAGAATTTTCTATAAAAGCAATCGAGATAGAGTCACAGAGACGATTGCATATTTGTTCACCGTCACTACTGCTGGGTGAGTTGAACGATGAATCACTGCGGTGTCAGGGAAATGTACTGCAAATCTACTGTTCTGCAAAGCACCGGCACATTCTGCGAGTTACAAGACACCGCAGTCGTTAGGTAGTGGTGTCTCTGACAAACGAATCCCTCGTGGTTTCGATAAGTCGATCCACGTTATTTCAGCTGGGATTTCTACATCAGTCTTTCACCTCGAAGGAAACCAAATGTTACTAATATTATAGGAAATCATGTAATCAGATGGATACGTCACGTGTATTTCCACGTAATAGGGTCATATAATAGACCAATAATATAATAGTAATATAATAGACCAATAATATAATAGTAATATAATAGACAAATAATATAATAGTCATATAATAGACCAATAATATAATAGTCATATAATAGACCAATAATATAATAGTCATATAATAGACCAATAATATAATAGTCATATAATAGACCAATAATATAATAGTCATATAATAGACAAATAATATAATAGAGTGATATAATAGACCAATAATATAATAGTCATATAATAGACAAATAATATAATACAGTGATATAATAGACCAATAATATAATAGTCATATAATAGACCAATAATATAATAGTATATAATAGACAAATAATATAATAGAGTGATATAATAGACCAATAATATAATAGTCATATAATCGACCAATAATATAATAGTCATATAATAGACAAATAATATAATAGAGTGATATAATAGACCAATAATATAATAGTACTATAATAGACCAATAATATAATAGTCATATAATAGACAAATAATATAATAGAGTGATATAATAGACCAATAATATAATAGTCATATAATAGACCAATAATATAATAGTAATATAATAGACCAATAATATAATAGTCATATATTAGACCAATAATATAATAGTCATATAATAGACCAATAATATAATAGTCATATAATAGACCAATAATATAATAGTAATATAATAGACCAATAATATAATAGTCATATAATATATTAGTCATATAATAGACCAATAATATAATAAAGTCATATAATAGACCAATAATATAATAGTCATATAATAGACCAATAATATAATAGAGTCATATAATAGACCAATAATATAATAGTCATATAATAGGCCAATAATATAATAGAGTCATATAATAGACCAATCTCAAATAGTGAACATTTTTATGAGCTTTCATTTCATGTTTATATGATTGTGAGCTTGAAGATGCAATTTTGTACACTGGTAATGTTCAAAGGCAAAAATGCATGCAAATAATTTCATGAAATCCAACGGTCCATACAGGAATATAATCAAATCCCCTACAACCTAATTTGCACTTCCAGTTGTTGGAGCTGTTTGACAGTGAAGACCCAAGAGAGCGAGATTTTCTCAAAACCGTGTTGCACAGAATCTACGGAAAGTTCCTTGGTCTCAGGGCATACACACGCAAGCACATCAACAATATTTTTTTAAGGTAGGGGTAATGTTTTAACGTAACACTACTAGCTAGTTACTTGAGTGCTGGTGTCTTGCTTACTAGTGTCTTTTGTGTGTATTGTCTACAACTTGCACGTATCAGGGTCTTATATATGCTATTCTCCAACATACAAGCATCTCCGATGCTTTTGTCTAGGATACTTGCATCATGTATGTTACAGTATTACCTACTGGTGTCCGATACGTGTTCACATACATGTCGTCGGTCTCATAAACCTTTATTATGATGGTGTGTGTGTGCACTCGGGTCGTGACGTGTTTTCCAACATCCATGGCGCGCTCAACGTAGCTGCGATAGCACATATGATGACATATAGCATTTGGTCGCGAGAACGATTAATCATACACGGAGCACACTCAGCGCATGAACACTTTAATTACGATATATATTATCTCTTCCCATTATCATCATTCAGTTGGCTCTACAAAGTCTAGTCGGGCGGTAATCATCGCAATCTCACCGAGTGCGTCTCATATCACTTGTACCGACCAGTACAGAACATTATTGGCAGAAGTCAATTAAGTCCTTTACATGCGTAGCTGTTCGGTCTCGATTCAGACATCGTACAGCGCGACTGCCCGCGGCCCGTGCTCTGTTCTAGCCGGTGTCCCTGAGCGCGAGCGGACTGTTGGGAAACTCAATGTCGTGGACACCATTAGTGTTTTCGACATGTACTTAGTGTGTATCTCTCGGGTTGCGAGATCGCTGACGTGCGGAGTGCCGTGTAGTGCGTGTGGACGGACGGCGGGTGCGTCGCTCAGCCAGCGCGATCGGTAGACGGTCAGACTGCGTGCCTATCATAACAATTGCTCCTTAACTGAGAGGAGCTAGCGTTTCATCACCTACACGTGTCGCGCGTACTTCGCGCTCTTGGTGTTGCCACGGCGCATGAGTCGGTGCATGATGTCCACTTGATGATGAAAAAGTGATGTAGCAATGTGCCTGCAGAAGAGGTTGCAGTACCGTGGTTTGTGTCGAGTGATTTCCAATGCACGCGCAGAAAGCTTCATTACATTTGTCTTCTCAGCTGCAGACTAGCTGTAATTCACACGTTCATCATTATACATTCTAATATTCCTTTATTCATTCATTATTCATGCAATGCTTCATTAGTAATGCTCTACCGTGTAGTTCTTTATTTACATTTATGTCCATTTTTTTCTCATCTTCCGTTGTTTAGCTGTTATTTTGATGCTTGCTTGCTGATATTTTTGCTTTCGTGTAATCACTGACAGACGCACTCGTGCGTATCGTGATAGTAGGATGTGTGATGATGTGTGTATTGAGTAATGCGCTCTGAATGGCTGAACCTTAACAACGGGGAAACTCGACAGCGCGCAAAAGCACACACCTGGATACTCGTTAGATGCCCGTGCATCCAACGATGCGCTTACCCGAAGTCGCGCGAGTGTGCGTCTCGTCTACACCGTGGTGTAGGTGTAATCTTTTTCTAAGTCGAACCTCGTGTGTGCTTCTGCGTGCCACAGATCACCTGAGTGCGTGCGTCATCCGCGGTGCGTCTAGCTTGCGTGTACGTTTGCGCCTGGGCTGCGCGCACAATGGGTACCTGTAGCTGCGCTCCATTCGCGCCTGTTGCGGTTGTGGCGCAGCGCTGTGTGTGTCCGGCATGCGTACCTGCCTTGCTGTTGCAGTGCGTCGTGTGTATAGTGCCATGGGTGGCGCTGTGGAGTCCTCTGCTGCCCCGCGTGCCGTGCGTCCGTCTAGGCTGGTGTGCCGCGTGCCGCGCGTTATTACGTGAAGGCCCATGACCGTACACTAGCACAGTAACTCTACGCGAATTGCTTGGAAAAACACTGCTCGTGGCTTCAAAGCTTACCGATCCATACATCAATAGATCCTCACAATTCTTCTCTGCGCATGCGTTATATACGAGACGGAGCGTCATTCAACGGGAAGCCTGTAGTCGACTGCTTGAAACTTCTAGACCGCTACGAATCCTATTAGTACGGAAAACTGAGAGCTATTCGTCTGCCACGGAGCAGATGGGACGTGCGTTGCCGCGACATACTGCATCTGGTACATCATGTGAACATGCTATAATCAACTCGGGAGTTCGAGCCAACCTGAAATTGCGGATATTCGCGGTATCACTACACCCCCGTTCAACACCCCTTAGTCCTCTCCACCACCCCAAAGCAAAGTCATGGAAAAATGAAAGTCGTATACTATTGATCTCAAGACTCGTGTCCATAAGCTCTAACTGAATGTATGAATAATTTAATATCCACACACATAATAGAATCTGCTAAGGTCTATAGAAATTATACTCAAATATATACACTAATATACATTGTGTTTTTAAGATCAATCAAAAGTGATATGACAGTCTTAACTCGGTACTCTTGAGGTGTAGTCACTCTGAAAAGCATTCTAAACATGTAGCCCTAAGTCGTCGTTGGGCATCAAGTCATCCAAAACAAACACGAATACATCTGAACATCATCTTAACTTCATCGTAATAGCCTCTCAACATTAATCTCATAATCAGACATAATAACATTGGCTTGTCGAGGTCTCGAAAATACAACATGAGCACACTCAGTTTCTCGTGAATATCCTTCTCCTTCACACGCATGACGCTCGCTGTCATCACCCATCAGGTACGCGACCCACCTCGCATGCGCTGCCACTCCAATGGGTGTTCGATATACTGGTCATAGCGTTGAGATGAATCATGATGATGATTATGTATAATGGTAACTGATGCTCATACTTGTGGGCAGTTCCTAATTCATGTACTTGCTTCAACTCCGCGCCTGAAACCCTGGCAGCAGATGCATGTTCTTGCAGCAGAAGCGTCAGATTAGCCGGACGTCCCCCAGACATGACCCTTGGCTGGCTATCAAATCGATGAAATTAATCCCTGGTTAATTGAGTTTATGCGAGGAATTCTATCTTTCCGTCGCCGTCTTGTTCATGCGCGTCGAACCTTGTAATTCCTGATTTAATTCTCCTCGAGTTACTTACCTTCTGCTTCTGTTTCAGCTGCTAACTGGTAGCTACAGTCCTGAGATTAGCAGATGCCACTCTCGAGCCCTATTTCTCTCAGACCCGCCTCGCGCTCACTGAGCCAAGCACTCGCCCAGATCAGAAAGGAGGATAATAGTGCTAGTTCAACAATCAGTCGGCGTTCGGTCAATCGCTATTGATCATCTCTGGGTACAGGACACCTGCTTACTGCTGCGGCTCATTAGCGTCGCGTCACTTAAACTGTGATATTATGTCTTCTAGGCAGGTGCTGCGCAACGTCCGTTGTTCTATCCAGCGGTCGTGCTCGGGCGTCAATGTTGTGTCGAAACTTTATCAGAATACCGTCACCCTGCCACGCGCGATAATTAGTAATACACCCCTGCAACGTAACCGCGCATTGACCGTAGCCCGCAGAACGGCGGGCAACAACAGTCAAACTCAACCACCTCACAAGATATAAACCCCCCAAGGCACGCCCCACGTTAATCAGGCAGGGCCTTAAAACGAAGACACGGACCAACGGCCGAGCGTGCGAATCAGCATTGTTATACACACCCTTACTCCTTAGCGAGAAAGCGATAATATGCATAAGAATGCACCGACACAAGCTAATAATCTAATGGCCCACCAAAACTGTCGAATAGTCGCAATGTCAGTATGCATGCAGTAAAGTTGATCATTTTTCGCAGTTCTGTGACCCCCCTATTCCCCTCCTAGTGTTCCTTCATCTCTGTTCGGACAGAGAAGCGTAGAAACGACGCTGTACGTGCCGCGATCGCAGACTCGTGCGGCACTATTGTTGTTTCTTGCGTCTGACAACGCTCGGTCGAGTGGTGTTTGCTGCGCGGCATGCTCGCACCCACGAGTGGCTACCATCCTATAGCGCGCACATGCCACCCCCGCAACACGCCCAAAGCAGCGAACCTCCCGACCACCTCCCGTTCCGCTGCCCCCACCCCCCACCCGGAAAACTAATTCTCTCGCTGACGTAATGAGTAATACGGAAGTCTGACAACTTACCTGGAGCCGTAGCCGCGTCGGACAACCTCCCACGCTAGCCATCTCCGGCGTTTAGCGCATTCCGGTAACAAGAGAGAAAAACTTGGCGGTGTTGTCGCGGCTTGCGTCGTGCACTGCGATTACGTTCGGCTTCATGGTCGTATATCATCCTGTATGCACCGTGACTATCGTCCACCCGATCTCATCAGAAGTACCGGAAACAGTCGCAAAGTAGTGCCCAGACCGGAACTAAGCCGTCGAAAAGGCCTCCGGTCTATGAAAGTACCGAACGCGCTCGCAAATAGTCTGCACATCCGACTAGCCTACGGGCATATAAGGACGAGCGAGTCTGACCGGCCACAGGGCCAGTTGCGTAAATAGTTGTGCTTAGTCGACTTCAGCTCTCTCACGGTCAATCATAAAGACCCGGCAGTTACACGACATCCACCGTAGCAAGTACTAGGTGCCATGTGAGAACTAGTCGTCCATAAGGTACCTAATCACGAAGAAAACCGATACCGTCGCAAAATGAGGACTCTCGCAGCGACTAGCCTCAACGACAGCATATAAGAAGTACCGGAACAGGTTGGCAAATAGTTCTGCAGTGCGATATAGTTCGTTCACGTCCTATACAAAGCTCTACCGCGACCACAGTTGCAAATAGTTGCCAGCAGACTAGGCGTTCCACGTTCTAATAGGAATACACCCGAACAAAGTTGACCACAAATCAAGATTGACGCGGCCAGACCAACCGACTCCACGGTCTAAGAAGTACCGGAACAGTTGCATAATAGTTGTGCAGTGACTACCCCACGCGTCATATACAGGATGAGATCTTCGCGGCAATCCGGCGAAATCGCGATTGAAAGTCCCAGGCGGTCCGACTTTCCGGAACCACTTCTAAAACTGAGGAAAATTTGCGAGGGGGTAGACAATGTAAACAATTTAAATTAGTATCATCCTCTAACAGCACCGACTGTAGAGCTTGTAGATTGTAGCAGTTTACCGGCTCAACACGTACCCTATACAGTCTATCTGTTATTTGCGGCCAGAAAAGAGGACAATCCTCGTCACAGGCTGCAGTAGAGGCGGGCAGACAAGTTTGGACGTAAGCATTCCTCACCTAACGACAGCCTGGCCTGAGGCCGGTTTAACATGTGTGACTCTTGGCTGCATTGGTACTGGCATGACTATAGCACCGTGATTGTTACCAGATCGCATTTGTTTTTTTTATTCAAATTTGTAAAGCACGCAGCTTATGATAAGTAAAAACAGCCAAAGCGACGGGTGGACAGAAAATATCATTATAGTCTATACACTTAATAAAAAAACTTGCCCTATTTCCAGCCCCTATTCCTTCGTTTAGTTCTCTTGTTCCTTTTAACAACTTAAAAGGTATTCAATGAGTCTCCTAACAGTATTGTTCTAGATGCTAGCAACGCACAACAATCTCAGCCCGCATACACTAAATAATGAACCTATGGGAGCTCAGTCCAGGACCTAGCATGCCGGATACTACGTCCTCTATGCTTCGCTCCTCTCGGGCTATCATTAAATTTCATCTGAATATTAAATATCCATCTCATCACCGTCTCTATAGAAGTACCGGAACATCAGTCGCTGCTGCCAATGCATCAAACGTCGCTCGGCTCTTCACATCCTCAATGTCTCGACTCACAGCCCTCGTGTCTCCACATATTTGAAGTCCACTCTAACACGTACTAACCCGCACTACCGTTCTCTCAACTGACTTCACGTCCACCTCAGTGCCTCGACTCTTGGCAATTCCACGTCTATGCACATATCAATCTAACCCGGACCCTCTCAACCTATCTTAGGCTTGTCTATGCAGTGGACTAGTTCGTCATATGTAGACGAGCACAGACTTACCCGACAAACAGTACGCAACGCTACCAAGAACCGAGAGCGACTAGCCAGTAGTTCTTTTTTTTTTTTCCAACAGTAACTGCTCACACATATCAACATAACTAATTATGCACTAGTATCTTGGCCATAGTGTACTGTTATCTACTAGTACACGACTATGTCGTCGACAGGCTATAGAAGACCGAAACCGAGGTGGGCGGAAAGGTACCCTTTCTCGCAAGGCTGCGCAGGAATACGTCCTAGTTTACGGGTCTACATACGATCCGATACCGTAACCATCGAAATAGATGCGCACCGATAGCCGTCATCGGTATATAAGATACCGAAACAATTGACAATAGTGGCAGCGGACTAGTCGATCACTCTATAGAAAGTACCAAAACATAGCAAATATTCGCAGTGACATCCAAAAATCTCATCTACTATAAGTACGAAATGAGCCCTGTCACCCGGCATTAACTAAGCAGGTGTTAATTTCACATCAAAGTGTTTGCACCTTTCAGTGATGTATCTGATTAATATCTTATGTCGTTACCTGTTACAGTGAGTACCTGATATCATCTTATATGCTTTACTGTACAGTATGTATCCTATAATTCTTATATGTTTACCTGTTAACAGGTGATGTACCTATTAATATATTATAATGTGGGCCCGTTACAGTGAGAACCTGATATATCTATAAGCGTTACTGTTACGGATGTATCCTGAAAAATCTTATATGGTTACCGTTACATTATGTATTCTATATATCTATTTCATATAGTTAACCTGTTACAAGGTGCTCAGGTATCTGATAATATCTTATATGTGTTACCTGTTACAGGTGATGTACCTGATAATATCTTATATGTGTTACCTGTTACAGGTGATGTACCTGATAATATCTTATATGTGTTACCTGTTACAGGTGATGTACCTGGGAGAGATCGAAGAGATACTCGACGTCATCGAGCCGAGTCAGTTTGCCAAGGTGCAGGAGGTGCTCTTCAAGCAGATAGCCAAGTGCGTGTCGAGTCCGCACTTCCAGGTAATTACTTATAATACTTTAATTAATATATTTAATTATTCCTCGCTGCGTGGCACGCCGGAGCTGGGACGCGCAGCGGCCCATTTCGCTCGGATGATCGGGCGAACATCGCGAACGAGATCTGCGTTGAATATTCATCGCGTGATGAAAGATTCATGCGTGCGATTACGTTAACGTGCGCCTTCGTGCATCGTGCCGCTTCGCTCGTTCGCTGTTCAGCTTGCGTGCGATGTTGAGACAATCAGAGTCTGACGAGAGAAAATGAGATGAGCATATAGCGATCGGTGTATATTAGGTTGTCATAGCAACCGGTGTATATATTACAATATCATAGTGATCATTGTATAATAATCTATCGTTTGCAATCGGTGTACGTTAGAATATTATGGTGATCAGTGTACATTAGGATATTATAGTGATCAGTGTATATTGATATATATATTAGTAGTGATTGCTGTACATTGTAATGATAGGTGTACATTAATATATATCTGTAGCGATATGTAGGTCTATAGGGAGGTTTTGACTGTTGATTGAACCCGAGTTACTATGACGTCGTGACATAACCTATGCAATGCTGATGACGTGTCAGAGTTGCCAGCAGCATCGTATGAATATATGATGAGCTCGTGTGCTAGGACCAGCTAGGTGACGGGGTCATCTACTTAAGGTTCTCGTCGCAGGGTTGGCATCCAAAGTGCCAATAACACGAAATATATTCATCACCAGAAATTACCTACCTAGCCGATAGGTAGTATTTTTTCAAGTGGTTAATAGAATATGAAACTCGTGCATCTATATAATAACTCATTTATGTGTGTGTGTGGGGGGGGGGCAAAAAAGGGCTAATGCCTCTAATGTACGTGTTGAGGTTAGTTAGTGTAGTGTATGGGCATGAGTGTGCACACAAAATAGCGAGTGCGTGATCCAATGATGAGATTATTGTAGGTATTAGTATTTATTTCAGGTGGTTAATAGAATATGAAACTCGGACCATTTATGTTGGGGGCAAAAAAGGGCGAATGCCTCTGATGTACGCAGGGTGCGAAATTAACGCAAGTCCGGAGTCAAATACTCCCTGATTTACTGTCGTACTCCCTGATTTGACATATGCAGGAGTACGTGTGACTCCCTGAAAAGTCTGCTATACTAACTAGTTCGTTCCAGAGCATGGCCTCCTTATTATTCCCAGGCGAAATTACCGTTTTTTTCAGCAATGTCCAAAGAAAATCTGGCAGACATGCAACCGCATGAATCTTCAAAATAAGCACATGCGTTATTGTTAATATCTTTAGTTTTGAACTTCAGACTGCAGACTCCCTCATTTCGTCGCGGACTCCCTCTTTTTGGGGGGCAGGGAGTCCGTTGGACTCCCTTGTTCAAAAGTTAATTTCTACCCCTGTATGTGTTGAGGTTCGTTAGTGTGTGAGCATGAGTGTGAGAGTGCGCAATCCAATGATGAGGTCATGAGATATCACCAGCAGGAACACCAACAGATGTTTTTACTGTTTGTTAGTAGTTTTTCATCTGAAGTTTTCTCGCTCGTTTTTACCGCGCGCACGTAGCCAGCTGAAGAGTAGCGATTACGGCACGTGCAGCGCACTCTGGTGAGACATCAGAGAGGCGCTCGAGCGATCGCCGCATAATGCGCGCGCGATGCCGCCAGCTGGAGTAGTTGCCACGACGACGCTCGATGACAGATGAATGGCCTCGGTTGCCGGGTAACCGCATCCGTTGATGCTACGAGCGCATCTAACGAGCGTAATTAACAGGTGGTGGGTGCTTTGAGCGCAGCTGTTCGCAGTTTCCCACGGTTAGCGTTAACGTCTGTTCGGGATTTCTTTACCTTTTCTTCCCGATGCCTTCACGCATACAGAAACAAAATGGAAAAATCTATACCGAAAAAGGAAATGAGAAAAAATGGACATAACTGTAAAAAAAAGAATACGGTAGAGCAATACTGAATGAATGCATGCATGAATGAATGAATGAATAAATGAATGAATGAATGAATGAATAAATGAATGAATGAATTAGTAGTTGCATTAAGGCAGACTAATGTAATTGTAATGCATTGCTGCTGCTGCCAGTTGGAAAATTTAAAAAAGAGGTCTCACACTCCTTCTGCAGGGTTTATCTTTTTTATCAGTGTTGCCACCTCATGCCCGTGGAAAAGGCTGAATTCTACCCAATGGTGTAGTTACTCACAGATGATCCTTTCCAGTTAAAGTGATCATTTGATGCTAGCCTAATACTGCATTAAACATCCCAGCCTCACTCTCGATCCGTAACCGAATCCCCCGTTCTAAAACCTACCATCTAGAATTCGTTCTTCCCAGAGCGAGGGCTGCTGTGTGTGATGTGAAAATGTTCGAATTGTTCTCACCAGGTGGCGGAGCGATCGCTGTACTTTTGGAATAACGAGTACATCATGAGTTTGTTAGAAGAGAACTCTAATGTGATTCTGCCAATCATGTTCCCTGCACTGTACTGGATATCAAAGGTAACTAGTTATCGCACGCACGCAATCGTGTAGATGCGATTGATTACACTCGCACGCACAGAAAACCTTTGTAGTATGCACGACTGAATGATTATACATGGGAAGGAATAACTTATATATATGTAAATATAAAATGTGTTGCATTGCGTTGCGTGTGCATTCCCGTGTTAGCTGGCTTAAAAAGGCCTGTTCTCGCAGCAAAATGCATAGATATATACCTACTGTGAGCTCGTCCATGATGTTGTAAAAATTCACTACAACTTATTTGTATTGCTACTTTCACAACATTTCTTCATAAAATCTAAACGAAAGTACTCATTTTACGAAAGTAGCACCACAGGATGTTTACAGTGTTACACATCCGGTACACAGCCGAGCGAACATTGTGTTGTATTAACAGTTCTTTTCTGTAACACATGTTATACTTTAGATCATATGTTATCTACATTACATATGCAATCAGGAAACAAATACATAGTTTTCGTTCAGGAACTATTTGCGCTAGTGTAGGCCTACTGTTGGCTCATCACTCCAAAACAACTTATGTGTATCTACTCGCCGAAACCGCGTCGGACGCGTTTTGAAAATCCCAATGTTTGGAGCACATTTCTAGCTCAATAAGAACATTTCGTGATGTTTGCATACTGCAAGTATGCTCACAGTAGGTGTATGTAGGCTTTTTGTTGTGAGGTTTATCCACTTTAATGCATGTATCAAACTAGTTTATCACGTCCCCGCGATGCTAGATGGGCGCTGTTTGCGCAGAGCGTTGCGAGTAAAGCTGAACGTCTTGCAGGAGCACTGGAACCAGACGATCGTGGCGCTTGTCTACAATGTGCTCAAGACGTTCATGGAGATGAACAGCAAGCTGTTTGACGAGCTGACGTCCAACTACAAGGCCGAGAGACAGAAGTAAGTCACCGCGCGCACGCTGCGACGAATGGCGTCTTGAAGTTGTCTGGTGTACACTTGTTTACTCGATATTTCATAAAAATTCCTGCAAGATATATGGGCAACTAGAATGTCATTCGGGCTTGTGCAATTTACAGAATACTTGTCCGCAGGCAAGTGGCTCAAAAAGTTTTTTGTGAAGACTGATATACATATCATTTCGTCCTCTTCCCTTCAGAGAGAGGAAGCGAGAGAAGGACCGAGAGGAACTGTGGAAAAAGCTGAACGACTTGGAGATCCAGAAGAGGCCGAAGCCATCGCCGTCGTCGGTGCAGAACGCGAGCGGAGGCGGCGCCACGGCAACCACCGACGCCACCCATCCGACGAAAAGCTGAGCTCCCACGCCACGAGGTGTCGCCACCGCTGTCGCCGCCATCGTCGTCGTCGTCGTCGCCCCCACCACCGCCTCGCCTCTCGCCCGCGCGCGGTCGCGAGACAGTGCTAGGTTATCCACAGAGCAGCAGTCGATCCTCCGGGAATCGATCCGAGAAGACGATCCGGATCCGGGAGCGTTCCCGCTCGAGAGGCCGGGCGGGAAAGGCGAGTTGCTTCGTCGACGTTCCCGGCGGGGAGGTCCGTCGAAGCGCGCGCACGTTCGCTTGTTTTCGGTCGGGCGACGAGCGGGTGTCGCGCGCGTGATCGGAGCGAGACGTGTCGTCTCTCGCCCCGCGTGCGCACGAGCGCAGGCCGCATGTTCTAGAGGTCAGAAGTCGTAGGCTAGAGGTCACTCAGAGGTCACTCTTCTTCTCGTCACTCTCCTGTGTTTAGTGCGAGTTTGTTCGACATTCTGTTGTTTGCGTCGAGTAAAATGAATGTGGACGAAGGCAGCCCCCCCCCCAGCATATCAAATACGTAGCACTGGAAAATTGTACACAATAGGATAACCTAAGACCTACCACAGGTGTATTGACCGTAGCACTGGTCGATCACATACCTAGCACTAGTATGCCGTACACATGGCACTGGTCTGTCTTAGCACTGGTATATCCTATATCTAACCCTGTTATATTGTATACCTTGCATTGGTATGTTATATAATTTACCCTGATATATTTTATACCTAGCACTTGTGTATTGCGTATCTAGCATTGGTACGACAGGTACCTAGCGTTGGTATATCGTATAACTACTAGCAGTGGTTTGTTGTATACCTAGTGCTGGTATAGAATGCACCTAGTGTGTGTGTATCGCACACCACGTCGCCACGTTTCAACCTGGGCCTCGTGCGAGTGTGTGTTGCAGCCATTTCATTGGCGAGGTGTCCCTGTTTGCAGGCAGGGGATCCCTGAATATCGACGGCGGCTGAGCGGCGTGCGCGAGAGAGGTGTTAGTAATTAAGGGTGATTAAGGTTGTGATAGGTGTGCCCAGGAGGTCTCGTTCACAATGTTCAGACTGCGACCTCCTCCGTGTGTGCATGCGTGTGCGTGCGTGCGTGCGTGCGTGCGTGCGTGCGTGCGTTCACGTGTTTCTGGAAATACAGGACCACCCTTCCTTCTCCCGACCTCCCCCCTTCCTTCTCCCGACCTCCCCCCTTCCTTCTCCCGACCTCCCCCCTTCCTTCTCCCGACCTCCCCCCTTCCTTCTCCCGACCTCCCCCCTTCCTTCTCCCGACCTCCCCCCCCCCTTCCTTCTCCCGACCTCCCCCCCCTTCCCGGCACCCGACTTTCCGCTTGCTGAAGCCTTTAGAAAGCGAGAGAGAGAGAGAGAGAGCGAGATCAGCGATAGGCTTTACTGCCCTGTAGCTTACTTATAGTACAGCGTATGTGGCAAGCTTGTATATCACGTATAAACGTGTTTTTGTTACGTGTTCTTATAACCTTACTCGTACTTAAAGTATAGAATTGAGAATCTTGTGCACTGTAAAAAGTGGCAGCTGCCCGAGTGTGTGGGTGTGTGTGCGTGCGTGTGCCTGTGCGTGCGTGCGTGCGAGTGAGCGTGTGTGAGTGTGCGTGTGCCTGTGCGTGCGTGTGAGTGAGCGAGCGTGTGTGAGTGTGCGTGTGCGTGTGCGTGCGTGTGAGTGTGCGTGTGTGCGTGTGAGTGAGCGCGTGTGAGTGAGCGGAGAGAGCATGAGTGCACTTATGCATTGTTAGCATCATCAGCAGCAGCGTTCGTGAGAAGTCGATTATTAAGGTCGTATTGTTGTATGAATTATCTGCTATCAGTCCCACGCACGCGCGTGCGTGCGTGCTGGTGACCTGTCTGTTAGCACAATTTGTTTCTTATGAATTGCTTACGTTTTAGGTGAAAATGTAGACAGTGTGTGTCGAGTGTCCGCACACGCGGGGTCACCGCGGGGTCATGCAGAGTTCTCGAATCCCTGGAGGCCATATGCACCAGGCTTCGTCACCTCTGCACGTGCCGTCGGTCACCGCCGCACCCTCGACGGATATATATACATACATACATATATATATATATATTTTCGAGATGTGATGTTTTTTAAGCTGTGTTTGTTGTTTTCGAGCCGAGGTAATACGCACTCGTGTAGAGTATGCACTCATCACTTATTATCGCTTGTAAATAGACGACGCGGGGGGGGGGGGCGCACGCGCGAGCCGCCCCCCCTTTTTGCAGTGATTCTGTTCTTGATGTCGTGCGAGTGTATATGTGTGTGTGCACGCACGCGGTGTGTGCGTGCATGCGTGCGCGTGTCGGCGCGCGTGCGTGCATGAGCTTGAGTGTGAATATTAGTGCGTTCCCCATGAAAGGAAATCCCCCTTGCGCGCGGGGAACGCACAGGGTTGCATGTGCGCGTACGAGATGCAGCCGCAAGCACTAGCGGCGCCCCCTGGTGATCGCTCACTGATCCGTGAGAGTTGTGTGAGGAATCACCGCGGTGGGCGGTGAATCTGTGTGGTCCTACTACTGTGAGGGTTGTGTTGACCGACGCGTGCAAGAACTGGCAATCGCGTGGTCTCGCGCAAAGAAATCTGGTGAATGTGTTTCGAGGGAATTAAAATGGTATATTTTCCCCCTCTCGGGGAATTCATTAGGTATAATTGAGAATGTTCCCTGACAGCGTGGCTGGATACGACAATTCTAGAGTCGCTGACCAACGAGATGGAGGGTTTTCCTCGTGGTTTCCTCTTATTATCTGCGTTATCCACGGTAAAGGAATAATGAGCGAATTTTCGTGGGATTTTAAGAGAAAAAATGCTGTAGTTTGCAGCGGGAAGCATACGATTGCCTAGAATTGTCGCGCTGCCCTCCGCATATGGAACTGTCGATCGTGTGTGGTTTGGCGATTGCGTGTGCTGCTTGATTATGGAGTGTGATTAACCGTCGCCATTGAATTAATGTCAGATTTCACTAATTATCGGTAGTTCTGTGTCATCCATCGCGTTGTATCACATCGGCTAGTCGAACGTATCTCCCTGTGCTGGTAAGGAGGAGGCACCCTGATGCTTGAATTCACCTGTCTGCCTGGGTGAAAGACAACCCTGCCCCATCTTGGGATGTTTCTGCTGCATTGTTCAATCTCACCCAGTTCGTGGCGTGGTTTCTCACACGTGCACGCAAAAAATGTCGGCATTGGGCACACTCTGTCACTAAGCATTGTCTTTAGAACGTCTCATCGTAATGTTGACTGGTTGCTAGAGCTGCCTGTCCATCACGTTGAGCAGATAGGTCAACTAGGCGTAGGCAGCGTTGACGTGGCACGTGGAAGCCTGGCCATCAGCGCCACCTTTTGCGTGTTTATTGCTGACAACAAGTGGCAGTCGTCTAGGTGGCGCCACTCCTGCAGAGCACAGGGCGCTGCTGTCGCGCACCGCGTACTGTACCGACGCGATAACAACGCCGCTGTGCCGGTCAGGTCGCCGCAAATACACTTGACGTCGTGACGTCACCGTCTTGTCGCTGTTTGTGTGACGTCACCGCGTCAGAGCTCCAGTCGGGTAGCATGTTGTGTTTTTCGAGTGACGATTCCGCGTGCATCCTTCCGCTGGGAAGTAGGGAGGTAAGGAGAGAAGGCGCGGATTGGCTGCCCCCACATGACGTCAGCAGTTGCCGGCAGACGACGCCTTTGTATCCTGTGGTTGGCGCGTGGCGTCAGCGTGTGTGTGCGTTGCATTGTTTTATTCGCACGGACCGCGACAACGACGACAGCGCCGCGCTGTGGTGGACTTGGTGGAAGAGATGGGCCCGGTGACCGGATTACATCGTGTATGTGTGTGTGTGTGTGTGTGTGTGCGTACGTGTGTGTGCGCGTACGTGTGTGTGCGCGTACGTGTGTGTGCGTGCGTGCGTGTGTGTGTGTGCGTGT